CTGTGTTCTAAGGTCCCTTCCTGCTCTGATATCCTGTGTTCTAAGGGTCCTCCCAGCTCTGACATCCTGTGTTCTAAGGGCCCTCCTAGCTCTGACATACTGTGTCCTAAGATCATTTTCAACTCTGATATTCTGCATTCTACTGTCCCTCCCAAATCTAACAAGCAATGTTTTAAAGGTCCTCCCAGTTCAGATATTCTATTGCTCTCTGGATGATTCAGGAAAGAAAGGGAGAATTGTGGGAGCAAATTGGCCCAACAGGAAAGTCTGGAGAGCTGGAGGCCTGGGATGGGAAAAGGTATATTTATGTTTCAGTGTGTCAGGTATATGAGGAGTGCCCACAGAGTGTGTATGTGTATGTGTGTTTGTGTGTGTGTGTGTGTGTATGGTTGTGGATGGCAGAAGAAAGTTCATATAGGTGGGTTACACAGTGTGTGTATTTGTAAGATGATGTCCATGTGGGATACAAGGGAATATGTGAGCATATGTGTACATGATTGACTTTGGGGATATGTTGGATAAGGGAGAGATTCATATATGTGGGGGTGGGTATCAATCAATTAATCAATAAACATTTATTAAGTGCTTACTATGTGGCAAAAATTGTGCTAAGTGATGAAGATACAGAAGCAAGCAAGAAAGCATTCCCTGCCCTCAAAAAGCTTACATTCTAACGGGAGAGACAACATGGAAATGGGAGTGGGAGAGATATGGAGAATTACGTGGTGCATTGGTGGGTATGCCAATGTGGATATGTGCTTAAGTAAATAGAGAAGGCTGGGGAAGGCACATAGGTGAGGATGTGTATATAAAGTAGATGTATAAAGAGAGCAGAGAGGCCTGTGCACGTATGTGTGTGAGTGTGGGTATATGTGTGTAGAGGTGCATATGAAGAGCAGGATGTGTATGTGTATGTGTGTGCGTGCGTGTATCTGGGGAGCCTCCCTCTCACCTTAGCATCATCAAGACTCTTACTGACAGCCTCCATGGAGATGATCACGTCCACATCTGCATCCAAAGGCCAATGGTCATCAGCTGGGGGCCCACGCACATTCTTAGGGTCATACTCCAGGTAGGTCTGCACTCTTGAGCTTCCAGTGACCTTAAAAGTCACAGACCCTGGAGGGACTGAACTGGACCAGAGAGAAGGAGAGGACAAGAAGGAGGTAAGCCAGAAGGCCATCCCAGAGTCTCAGGGCTTCAGAGTGGAGACAACACCCAGCGATTGGGTACTGGGGAGGGAAGAACGCTTATATCAGCTCAGATAACTCACTCTAGCCAGGCCTCTCTTTGGGACGTCGGTTTTCTCATCTGTAAAATGTAGCTATCATTCCCAAACCCAAGGCCATGAAGACTAGCTGTGAAGGATGGCATTTGATGATACAATGACTTGAGATGACCAATCGTCAAAGCAAACGAATGTTTGTTGATTGACTGATTGTCTGTACATAGACATGGCAGGAGAGCCTGCGTTTGGAAAGGCTGTGTCTTCAATGATGACATTCCATTTTCCTTCTCCATGCCTTTTCAGCATCTTTCCTAGCTGTCCCCCATGCCAGGAATGCACCTGTCCTCCTCACCTCCTCTTTCTTTCCCTGGCTGCCCTCAACACTGCTGAAGTCCCACCTTGACAAGAAACCTTCCCCCACCCCCACCCAACCCAGAGCCTTTCAGACAAACTTCCATGTACCTCCATTTATACATCTGGCATATACCAAGTCATTTACCTGATGTCTCCTCCCATTAGAATGTAAGCTCCTTGAAGGCAGGGACTGTTTTGCCTTTCTTTGTATCTCTAGCACTTAATACAATGTCCAGCATACAGTAAGTGATTAATAAGGAAGAAGCTAGGTGATACAGTGGATAGAGCACTGGGCCTGGAGTCAGGAAGACTCATCTTCCAGAGTTCAAATCTGGCCTCAGACAGTTCCTAGCTGTGTGACCCTGGCCAAGTCACTTCACCCTGTTTGCCTCAGTTTCCTCATCTGTAAAATGAACTAGAGAAGGAAAATAGCAAACCATCTAGTATCTTTGCCAAGAAAACCCCACATGGGGTCATGAAGAGTCAGACTTGGCTGAAAAACAACTGAAAGTGATTAATAAATGTTGGTTGACTGACTTTAAATTCTGTGATTCAACCTCATCCTGAAGATGTCTAGTGATGCAGAACTCACTGCTTGGTGGAGTGGCCCATTCTGTAAGAACAGAGTTCACAAGATTTTAGAGTTTTGTGAGTAGAGAGACCTCCCTTGTGAAATAGAGAGACCTCTTCCAGTGGTAAAACCGGCCCAATCCATCCCTGAAAAGGAATCCCCACTAAAACATTTTTTAATAAGCATTTGTTTATTAAACACTTACTGCATACCAGGCACTACGCTAAATGCTTTACAAATCTTATCTAATTTGATCCTCACAACAACCCTGGGAGGCAGGCACTGTTATTATCCCCTTTTACAGATGAGAAAATTAAAGTAGACATAAGTTAAGCAATGTGCCCCAGGTCACACAGCCAACAAGTAGTCATCCAATCTTTTCTTTTTTTTCATCCCATATTTTCTTTTATTTTTTTTAATTTTTTTTTTTTTGGTGAGACAATCAGGATTAAGTGACTTGCCCAGGGTCACACAGCTAGTAAGTGTTATGTGTCTGAGGTCAGATTTGAACTCAGGTTCTCCTGACTCCAGGGCTGGAGCTTTATCTACTACACCACCTAGCTGCCCCTATCCCATCTTTTCTTGAAGACCTTCTACAAGGGGAAACCATTCCCTCCCAAAGCAGCCCATCCCACCTTTGGATAACTGATTATTGGGAAAATGTTCCTAACATCAAGCCTAAATAACAGCCAGCACTTATATGGCGCCCTAAGATTTGCAAAGTACTTCACATAGTTATTTCATTTCATTTTCATAACAATCCTTTAAGGCAGCTGTTATTATTATCCCCATTTTACAGATGAGGAAACTGAAACTGAGAGAGTGACAAGGCTAAGGCCACCCAGCTAATGTGTCTGAGATAGGATCTGAACTCAGGTCTTCCTGATTCTAAGCCCAGGGGTCTATCCATTGAGCCTCCTGGCTGTCCCTTTGCTACTTGCACCCATTTTCTTTGACTCTAGCCCCTGCAAGGTCATGGGGTTTTGAGTTGGAAGACATCTTAGTGGTCATCTATATTGATCCATTGCTAAATATGGGTCAACTAGTCTAGTGGTCACACAGAGCATTCCCCTAGATTGGGGTATCCTTCTTGCATACCCCTCATTCATCCTGGCTAGGCCACAAGACTGGTTGGTTCTTCAGGGGCAGGGACAGGATGCTATGAGCCACACACACTCCTTTCTCCTATTTTCCCAATGACCAATAGCAAGTATTCAAAAGTTTCCAATCCCTAGTCCAGGAGAAGCCATCAACAATCAGTTAACAATCCATCAATAGTTGCTAATAGGGTACTAGGCTGGGCATTGATGAGCCAGTGACAAAAACATCATCAATCAATGAATTTTGATTAAGCATCTAATCAGTCAATCAGCAAGCCTTTCTTAAATGCTTATTAGGTGCCAGGCACAGTGCTGAGTGCTGGAGATACACAGAAAGGCAAAAACAGACCCTGCCCTCAGGAAGCTCACAATCTAATGGGGAAGATAATATGTAAACAACTATGTACAAACAAGATACGTACTACATAAGCGAAAGGCAGTCTCAGAAAAAGTACCTCAGTGGGAGGGACCTAGAAAGTCCTTCCTGCAAAAGCTGCCTGGGATTTCAGCTCAGTCTTTTTTTTTTTTTTAAAGGCAATCAGGATTAAGTGATTTGCCCAGGGTCACATAGCTAGTAAGTGTCTGAGGCCGGATTTGAACTCCGATCCTCCTGACTCTAGGGCCGGTGGTCTACAGCTGCCCTCTTATCTCAGTCTTAAAGGAAGCCAGGAGGCAGAGATGAGAAGTAGGAACATCACAGGCATGGGAGGACAGCCAGGGAAATGGTGCAGAGAAAGAACAGAGTAGCGTATGCAAGAAAGACAGTGACCTGGATCTTAGAGGGCACGGAGGGGAATAAAGTGTAAGGAAACTGGAAATGTAGGAAGGACACAAGTTGTTAAAAGCCAAATAAGATTTTTTAAAATTTGTTCCTGGGGGTAATAGGGAGCCACTGCCGTTTATTGAGTCAAGGAGTGATGTGGTCAGACCTGTGCCCAAGAAAGATGACTCTTATGCCTCTATATGGCTGGGGATACAAAAATAAAAATGAACATCCCCGCCCCTTACAAGCACAGTGCATTCTTTTTTTTTTTAGGCAATTGGGGTTAAGTGACTTGCCCAGGGTCATACAGCTAGTTAGCAGCACAGTGCATTCTACTGGTCATTTATGACCTCAGGCCTGAGTGACTCTCACAGGCCCACATAGTGACCTTAACCTGGTGCTGAAGGGACAGCCAACAATCCCAGATATTACATATATATATATATACACATATATATGCACATGAATACATATATACATATATAATTCTATTAAACATATACAGGCTGAGTCTTATCCTGGGCCAACATGGCAGCAGCACCATCCTGTCCTTAAATATTAGGGACCAGAGGTACCTTGAAAGTTCATCTCATCCATCCCCCTTCTCCCATAGGAGAGGCAGCAAGGTGTGGTGGAAAGAATAATGGATTTTGAATCAGAGGTGCTTCCTTAGACTTCTGCCTCTCTCCGTGAGTGGGTGATCTTGGACAGGTCATTTAACTTCCATGGGCCTCAGTTTCCCCTTCTGTCAAATGTAGTCCTATGTATTTTATTTTTTGCATTTAAAAATATTTTTCCGAGGACTCCATAGGCTTTACCAGACGCTCTAGAGGACGCCCTGAGCCTAAGACTTAATGCCTCAGAGATGGACCAAACTGAGTGTTACATAAGATCAGAGGAAACAGTCCTTACTGACTGAGGGGTCAAGAAAGGCTTCCTCAAGAAGGTGGCAATAGATTTAAGCACTGAAGAATGGAAGAAAATCCAACAAGTAATGAGAGGGAGGAAATGTATTCCAAGCATAGGAGACAGTGTGGGCAATGGCCAAGACGTGGTAGAATACAGGGTATGGATGGCAAATAGTGGGTAGTCCAGTTTGGCTGGCACATACAGTGCATGGCAAGATATAGTGTGAGATAAGGTTGAAAAGTCAGGGTGGTACCAGGTGATGAAAGTCCTTTGCTGCCAACCTTCTACTAAAAGTTGACATCTTCCGAGTCACGTCAACCAGCCATCCTACTTACTGATGATTTGGAAGTTTGGCCAAAAAATGCATGCCCTTGGGCCAGGATCAAATTCAACATGCCAGGCATCAGATGCCAATTTCCTGATGTCTGCCCTGTACCCAATGGTTGACTCTTCGATCAACCAGCTATGGGTCAGAGGGACAAGAGGAGGCATTCAGTCAGGCCTTCTGTTTCCTATATCAGATCCCTTCCCTTAGGTGGGTAGAATGGAAAGCTCTCTAACAAAGGTGCCAGAACAGGAAGTGGAGAAATACTGAGGCAAGTCATCTGGTTTCTGAAGTTTGGTGGCATCAAATATTATGCCACCATCAGGGCCAGGCCAGCTTACCCAGATGCCTCTGCTCTTCCCCTCAAGTGCCCTTTGAAGAAATCCTGCCTTGTCCCCAATACCCAGTACTCATTGTCCCATGCCTAATATAGTGCCTTGTCACCCTAAAATACCCTGTCCCTTCTGCTCTTGACCTAGTAAAGTACCTCCAGAGACCCTCCTCTGTTATGCTAGCATAGGCTTTTAAGACACCAACGGGTAACTGGGCCCAGGGCCAGGGAAGAATGGGAACAGAGGTTCTTTCTTGGTAGGCACCCACTGCCAAAGTGACTTACACTCAGGGCATTTCCCCTCCTCCAAGTTCTCTCTATGGAAGGGGCTCACCACTTTCCCCTAGATCCCTGTGCCAGCCACCCCACCCTGTGGCCCAGAGCTCTCATACCCATTTCTCAAGGAACCAGTATCTCCTGATCTACAGGGATGGGAACCAGGAAGTACCTAGAGTAATAACTATGATTTGGTGACCTTCCCTTAAAAGGGATTTGGGGCCCTCCTCACCTCTCAACCTGGACTGTATTGCAATAGCTACTTCATTCCTATTT